GGGTCCGGGCTGGGGATTCGAACCCGCCACCTTAGGTGTACGTGGCTGGCGCCTTAGCCGGTTGAGCTATAGACGCCGAGCCTCAATTTTAATTTCTAGTTAAGTATGAATAGGTATAACCTTGTTTTATTAGAAACAGGGTCTCACACTATTGCCCAGGCTGGGGTGCAATGGTGTGACCACAGCTCATTGCAGCCTCAAACTCCTACCTAGGTTCAAGCAATACTTCTGCCTCAACCTCATGAGTAGCTTGGATTACAGGTGTGTGCCACTAGGCCTGGCTGGCTTTTAAAATTTTTTGTAGAAATGGGGTCTTGCTATGTTACTCAGGATGCTCTCAAACTCCTGGGCTCAAATGATCCTCCTGCCTTGGCCTAACAAAGTGTCAGGATTCTAAGTATCATCAGCCAAGCCTGGCCCCATATATATATATATATAATATGTATATTAAAAAAATATATATTTATTTAATGCTTTTTGAGGTTCTTAATAACTTTATTAGTGTAAAGGATTAGTGAGACCAAAATGTCTGAGAATCACTGTTAAGTTTATTTATTTTTTTTTTTTTGAGACAGGAGCCTCAAGCTGTCCCCCTGGGTAGAGTGCCATGGCATTTCAGCTGACAGAAGTTTATTTTCTTATACTCTTTCAGGAAAATAAATAGGCATAGAAAGTTTAAGAAACTTGCTCCAAGGCCATACAGGAGGTTAAGTGGCCCAATCTAGTTCAAATACAGTTCTGTTAACTACAAAACCCATGGTTATCCCACTATGTCACTCTACGTCCTGTCTTTCTTCTAATTCAGTATGGGTTCACTCAGTTAACAGTACCAGTGGCTTTATTTATTAATTTATATTTTGGTCTATGGAAATAAAGTGAAGGAGAAAACCAGACGTTCGTTGCCTCATATAATTTGTCCACAGAGAATTCCCTGCTAATGAAATATATACCTTTTTTTTCTGTGAATTGGTTACCTATGATTCTTCAAATAGCATTAGTCATACTGCTGTCAAAAAATCTTTTTAAGCTGGGTGTGGTGGCTCACACCTGTAATCACTTGAGGAGTGGGACAATCACTTGAGCTCAGGAGTTCGAGATCAGCTTGAGCAAGCCATCTTTAAAAAACAGAAAAGTTAGCTGGCCATTGTGGCACACGCCTATAATCTCAGCTATTGGGAGGCTGAGACAGGAGGATCACTTGAGCCCAGGAGGAGTTTGAGGTTGCTGTTAGCCAGGGTGACGCCATAGCACTCTAGCCCGGGTGACAGTAAGACTCTGTCTTGAAAACAAACAAACACAAAAAACCCTTTTTAAACAATTATGGACCACCAATTTTAGAGACTCCTTTAACAAAAACCAAATGGACAAACTTACGTTGGGTGAAGGTTGATGGAGACTGGTTTCTAAACTCGGATTTCTGATTGCTGTCATCTAAAGATAAGAGTAAGAAAAGAATATTTTCAACTTATATTTTATAACTTGCATTTTTATTTCTAATAGAGAAAGAAGACAAAAATTTCACCAAGAAAAACAGAAGGCTGAAATCACCCAGAAGCAGAAGAAAAAGCAGACACTATCAGTGCCCATTAGACCTAAAGCTCCTTGAGACGTAAGTCCTATTTCCTTTATCAAGGCATATAGTGGTCTAGTACAAAGCAGACACTTAATATTTAGTTACAAGAGAAAGCCCTGAAGTATGTAACCCATAATTATGTAATAGGATTGGTGAAACTTCTGGAATAAAGTTAAGAGAACAAAGAGAATAGCACACCATAATAAAAGGAAATATACCATCTGAAAAACTGTCATATATTGAACTCTTGCCTGGTGGAGATGCTGTGAAGAGGGGGAAAAGGACAAAATGTGGATTATGGAATACCAAGCTATCAGGATAAGGTGTTTTTAATATAGAACTCAACCTTAAACTTCACTATTTTCTATCTCAAACTAATTCAAATATTTCCTCTGAGGCTTCTATTTCAAATATTAGTAATATTTTGTAAAAAATCACATTAACAGACTTCATCATTTCTGTTAATAGATGATTAAGTAATTCTGTTTTAGATTTCTTGTTAAATATAATTCAAAAATAATTTTCTTACAGCTCCATTAAATCTCTACTTCCATCATTATGTTAGAAAATAAATTGTCAGGGACTTAAATGAGACCCTAGAACAACTGTGCTTGATAGACATATATAGAACACTCCATCCCAAAGATAACGAATACACATTCTTCTCATTGCCTCATATAACAGTCTCCAAAATTGATCATATCCTAGGACACACAAAAAAAACCTCAAGAGAATCAAAAGAATTGAAATTTTACCTTGTATCTTCTCAGACTACAAGGCACTAAAGGTGGAACTCAACTCCAACAAAAATGTTCAACCCCACACAAAGGCATGGAAAGAAAATAAATTGTCTTACTTTATTGCCCTAAGCAGCCTGCGGTAGCATCATAGCTCACAGCAACCTCCAGCTCCTGGGCTTAAGCGATTCTCTTGCCTCAGCCCTGAGTAGCTGGGACCATAGGTGCCCTCTACAACGTCCGGCTGTTTTTTTTGTTGTTGCAGTTTGGCTGGGGCTGGGTTCGAACCTGTCACTCTTGGCATATGGGGTTCCCTACCCACTGAACCTTAGGCACTGCCTTAAATTAAGAAGTATTCTAACGCTTCTCTTTTTCCCTCCAAATTTTTTAGCATGCCAGCAGAGTTTAACATCTAAGAGAGGAATGGAGGCACCCGGTTCTGAAGGTGGAAAGGCTGGGTTTTCTTATTCACATAATTTATCTTTAACAGCCACCTATCACTTGTCTGGAGTTTTATAACTTTTATATATATAAATGATTTCCCTGGTAGATCCTCCAGGTATTTTGTCAACAGCTTTCATTCGAAAAACACTGGACTAAACTGGAGGAATAGCACTGCTTAGCACTGCTAAGATACGGAAGGAGCCTTTTTGGGAATGTGACAAAAAACCCCAAATAAGACAACATTAATTCTAAGAAGCATATTGTTTTTCAGTTACTAATTTAGCTTAGGAAACTTCATTACTTTTAATTTTCTAATTTAGATCATCAAAGTTACAACTAAGAAAACCAAAAAAACCTCAACCAAACAAAAAACCCCCAAACCCATCAGATAATGTTTATTTTGAATATCTTACTCTATGGCTGCAAAGATCAAATGAGATAATATGTATGGAAATGGAGCCGAAAGGACATGTTGAGGTTGGCATACCCATCACAACAGTAACTGCCATGGCTTCCAGTGCTTTGGCCAAACCTCAGATGCGTGGCCTCTTGGCCAGGAGCCTGCAGATTCCATATTGGAGCTTTTGCTATATCCCTGGGACTGCAGCTTTCTATAAGTTTGCTGTGGTTAAACCAAGAAAGAAGGCATATGCAGATTTCTACAGAAATCACGATTCTATGAAAGATTTGAGGAGATGAGAAAGGCTATCTTTCAGAGTGCAAAGTGATTTTGGAATATAAAGAATTACTTTGAGATGATTACCCAGAAGTTTGTCATTGATTTGTGTTCCTGAGCTATGAATATGAGTGATCAATAAACTATTCATAAATTAAAAAAAAAAGAAAATGCTGTGAAGTGCTACTCTATGATGTTAATGATGAAGAACAGCTAAGTAATAATTATGTACCATATGTAATGTTGACATAATTCATAGAACATAAACACTTAGCAGGCCAGACACAGCTGACACAGGACATTATCTAAAAGGTAATCTCTATCCCTCTTACTGAAATTATTAGACAGTAACAAAAACTCTGAAAAAAAAAATCTTTTTAAAAGATAAAGCTCAAGGGCGGCACCCATAGCTCAGTGGGTAGGGTGCCAGCCACATACACTGGGGCCCTCGGATTCAAACCCATTCTGGGCCTGCTAAAACAACAATGATAACTGCAACAAAAAAATAGCCAGGCGTTGCGGCGGGCACCTGTAGTCCCAGCTACTTGGGAGGCAGAGAAAAGAGAATCACTAACGCCTAAGAGTTTGAGGTTGCTGTGAGCTGTGATGCCATAGCACTCTACTGAGGGCAATAGCTTGACACTCTGGCTAAAAAAAAAAAA